ATCTATTACAATTTCTAAGAAAATCACTAAAATGTGAAAACACTGATTATTGAGAGTTAATTTTTAATTTTTTTCAACTTTAAATGTGAAAACACTTTACTTTTTTAACTTTGAACGCAATTTACAGCTAAATGGATGAAACCATATCAATATGCGAATAATCGCTACATTTGCCACACATCCAGCTTTTATATGCATTTTTTGGATCCATTGAATCACTGCTTTTTCGAGCGTTCATTTTTCATTACTTTTTTTCAAATTTGAACGCAAATTACTGCTAAATGAATGAAACCACAGCAATATATATATTTCCCAAACATCCAGCTTTTAAATTTTCAAATTTTCACAAAAAGAAATAGAGAAAAAGGATTTTTACAACTTGTTTTCTATTGCTCACATGGATTATTTTCTTTCCAGAAATATAATAAACTCACTTGCTACCAAGCTGGGTTTAATCGTCTTTTAGAGCATTCAACAATCAATTAAATTATTCGTTCTTCTTTTAGTACCCTCTAACACTAAAAGTTCCTTTTTTTAGTAGGTTGAGCCAAAGTCACATATTCAGGTTCTTGAATATATTTATGACTTGATTCTTTCAAAGCAAAGCTATAATTTCTATTTCTTTTTTTTTAAATGATTTGCATACAATCTTGATAATATTTGTCCAAAAAACTTAATGATCTCACTTTTTGAAGCTAGTGAATGAAATAAGCTAGACGTCTTTGTCTAAACGTTCTGTAGATTTTGTAAATTATCTAAAAATCTTATAAAACAAAAATAAATTTCAGTTTTCATGATTTTCTGTTGACATGATTTTCTGTCAATATTTCTATGTTTTTGGGGAAAAACCGGTTTTCGAATTACACAAATTTCAAAAACCGTGTTTTAAAAATCGACAAACCCTAACGTTTGGGTTCCATTCAATCTATTATAGTTTCCGAAAAAAAATCGTTAAAATCTGAAAACACTGCTTTTTAAGCGTTAATTTTTCTTTTTTTTTTCAAATTTGAACGCGAATTACAGCCAAATGTATAAATAAATAAATAATAAATATTTGACTAATTAGTTTGATTAGTAAATATTTATTGTGTAAATTGATAGAATTATTTAATATTGAAAATTTGATTGCATTAATGCGAATGCAAAAATAATGACTTAATTTTAATAATGAATAGCGAACGCTGTCCGGTGTATAATTATTGGCCTGCCCCGATGTGCGTTTGATTAATATTCCAGGTACGCAGTAAGTGCGGTTAATGAGCGAGAATGGCTCTCATAAATCAATTGAAATGGACGTAATTGCAAATTTTACTTCGGTAATCAAAACAAATTGCCATTTTCCACGAGCCACGATCTCACTTTCCATCCAAACATTCCTTTTTTCTAATGAATTCATTATTTATCGAACGATTTGTCCGACGACTCAATCTCACTTGTTTGGATTTCTGGATGATCGCATCAGAGATAACGAGGCGTGTTTAAGCTCGTCCATCGGTAATCGCTTTTCGGATTGAAATGAATGAACGGTGTCGGTCGATTAAAAGCGCAGGACGTGTGGGCCTAATATGAATGATGTGAAAGGATTCGCCGCTCTCCCATCCCCAATTCTATATTTATTAACACGAACTTTAGTATTATTTTGTATTTCATGTGTACTCGTTAAGAGTTAACATGTATTTCCGTTTTGAGATGGAAAGGAAAAGACGAGGAAACGCAGTTGAATTAAACCGCGATTAATACGCAGATGGAGTGAATAATATCGGTTTGTGTCAGCCGGAGGATTATCATGTTATCCCGCTTAATCCTGACAAGCCATAAACTACGGTATTAATGCACATAAACAAGTCTTCGAGCAGCATGATGCTAACTCAAGTATCCAGGTCCATTCATAAAACTGAATATGTACATTTTTAATATATGGATGTACGGATTATATATTTTCATAGTATTTAAACTTTACATTCGAAAATCTTCGGTGCAGCCAAATAAAGACACACCAGCAGGCTAACTTATATTCCAGTCCGTTTAAATTTACTATTCTTTCGCATTGTATTATAGGTGAAACGAAAAGGATGAATAAAAAAAGGATCACAACAACAGCAAAGCACTTGAATACTTCTTTTCTTTTCCTACCACAACCATTCCTTAAAGGACATAAGTTTTCTATTATAATTCTCTATTAATAGAATCTGATATATTAATTATACATTTCCAATAATAAATTTTAAAAGAAATTGAATTATTCATTTTATTGTTATACCGAAATTTATTACTTAAACATAATTACTTTCTATTAGGTTATTTTACTTTATAGTTTATTGATGATCGCAAAGAATGATTCACAGAGAGGAATAAATTAACAGAATTACAAAAAAATAACAATCATTTCTTTTACCATCAATAAATCATCTTAAAATACCTAAAGTTGAATAGATTTTATTCTTATCCCATAATTTATATCCATCAAAAACTGATTAAATTGGATATAACTTTGTATTGCAACATTTTACGTTACATTTTATTTAAAAATATTTTAGTTAAAGAATTATTGAATATATAGTTAAATTAATTAAAAACAATTTGAAAAAAAAATTTAAATAATTTATCAAATGCATTATTAATGTTATTGTTTTCCATTAATTTATTGCCATAAAAAGAGAATTACAATGTTTTAATTTCCTTTTTTCTGTTCAACATTGTTCAACATGTTTCAATACAGACAAAGAAGAAATTCCATCAACTAATGTTTACGTAATAAATTTACAAGTGTTTTGTTTAAATCTCTATATTGTATTTATTGTATGCGATTTTCTAACTTTAAATTTTATGGAAGAAAGAAACGATTAAAATAAAACAAAAATTATACAACAAAATAAATTATTTGAAAAATATTTTCTAATGGATTCCTATGTGATTTCTAAATGATTTCTTTGAAATTTATAAATAATTTTTATGTAATTTCTATGAGATTAGTGTGTTGTTATACAATAAATTAAGGAATAATTATACTGACTATTACTGTTTCCAAACTTAAACAGAGTTAATGATATTGAGATATTTGTAATGAGCAAATATTTTAATGTGATTTGTAATGTTAAAATTCGAATGGTAATAATATGTATAAGTACAATGTAATTTCAACCTTAACATTGATGATGATTATTAACATAGGGGCTAATTTGAATGCATAATCTTTGTGATCGAATTGTCTATTAATTGCTAAAAAAAGAAAAGAGATCTGAAACGTGGGTAGAATTGAATGTGCAAGACGAATCCGATCTTATTCAGTGTACGAAGATCTGCATATGACGATTGTCGTGATTTATTGAACTTCGCGATTTTATTTTTTTGTTGCCTTGGTCCAAAGAGAGATCCGCTCACGCATCGTTACGTGACGATCACAGATATTTATTAAGTATGTACATATTATTATTATGAAAAGGCAGATGCATGAGCAACGTATAATTTGTAAGGTGTGAACTGCGGGTGTGTGTATATTTATATATAACAAAACTATAGAGCAAGGGCAGAGGAAGGAAGAGGCAGTCCCTTCGTGACTTCGGACTTGAGTAAATTGAATTACTAATAGTAATAATAATAATAAAGTGCATATTAACATCCCTCTTCTGCCCACGGAATCACGAAGAATATCGGCATCTCTCAGCAAACAACGGCAATGTTTGATTTATATCCGACAATTTCATTAAAACATATTATGCATGTTGCTCGAATATAGGAACGTTGCTTCCTAATAAATATGAATCGCAGCATCCCTTCATCATCTCGTATGGATGGACGACGCACGAGAGTGTACAACTTGGAATAAGTTGTAATCCATAATTCGTGTTGGTGCATTTCAGTCTCGTTTTCCTCTCTTTTTATTTAAATTTGAGGTAGATGTAGGCTATTAAATGATGCGTGGGACGTTGATCGCTGATCTTTCCACGCTCACCTCGAGTTAATCAAAATAATTAAACAACGTTTCGCCGCATTGTCTTCACCATCTTCCCCAAATAGCTTTTAATCGTTATTAATTGCGGATAAGTGCTGATTTATTAAACCCATTGTCCGTGCGCACTTATTGTTTAAAACTTAAAGAACGTGGGTTGAGATCCAAGCAAAACAATTAATAATTATATATATATATAGTTATACAAATATTACTATATATATTACTATATATATTGCATCATAATGCATTTTGGTTAATTATTCTCTACTATGTTAGTAATAATTTATTCAGTGCCTTATTACGTATTTGCATCATAAAATGTTTCAATAAAATTTGGTTATAAAATGAAAAATAATTTGAATTTCATCATATTTATACAACATTAAAAATTAACAAAGAATACACATATTTATTATAAAAGCCACAAAAAAAACAAATAAAACATATTTATATAATCAATAATAATAAAAATTTCCTAATGCATAAAAATTAACATTGATATGAAATATTGCAAAGCTTAAGTAATTGTTCTTTGCTTTCTCACTTAATTTTATATAAATTTCAACTATCACCATATTTAAATAAATATTATTAAATAATTTTGTATGTAAATTTGACATTTGAAGTGTTTCAAAGCAATTATAAAATTTTAAAGTTTACGCATTTCAATCACAAGAATGACTTTTCTATTTATAAGGTTATAATTTAACAAACTCATATTCTTTGTTCAACATCATTTTTTCACATTTTTTCATTAACGTTTTTCACTATACAATTCTTAAGTGCCTTTCAACCTATAATGATTCAGTTTTAAACATGATATAAAAACTACATATGATAAAATAATATTATATTTAATAATTTCATTAAATCCAAAGGATTTATTAAGATTAATATTTTCAATCGGATGTTAACAATGTAAGATAAGTGTAGTTTTTTTTGTTTGTTACTTTCAAATTGGAAAATTTGAACTCGAACATAAGAAGGTTCCAACTTTTAATGATGATAAAAGTAGCAGTAATAATTGAATAGTAGTAATATTTGAATTGTGTTGTTGCAGGATCAAGAGAAGCGGCTTTTACGTATGCAATATCAAGCGCAGGAGTGGCGTACGCCTTGGCTGCGGCCTGCGCTAAAGGAAACATCTCCTCGTGTGGCTGTGCTCCTGGTCCGAAAGTTAAAGAACCTGCACCGTCCGGTTGGAAGTGGGCAGGATGCAGCGTGGACGTCGGCTTCGCCATGCGCTTCGCAAGGAAATTCCTGGATGCCAGAGAATTGGAGGGAGATGAGAGAAGCCTCATGAATCTGCACAACAATAAGGCTGGAAGAAAGGTTGGTTTTGTTTGAATGAACGCTTTTACTTACTCTCTCTCTCTCTTGTCTTTAATTTAGTTAGCATTTACCAACAACGCACACATACAATCTTTAGACACGATCGTAATAAATCCGCGCGCGTTTTGCAATTATGAATTCCGATAATCAAGCGATTTAATCGAACCTTCGGATTTATGGTCGTTGCAAAATAGTTATTGTAATTTTTCGCGTTTGCAGCTAGCAATGAAATAAATTCACGAGGTGCGATAAATAATATATTCAATTAAAATTAATTTATTGCCTTCGAAAGTGCGCGCACCAAGAGCAAGAGAAAGAAAGGCTTCTGACAAAAGTGCTTAACTATTTCGATATCCCCGATACGGACACTCGAATTATTTATGAAGTGGACGGTAGTTCAGAACCCACATTTATATAATGAATACATATACATATATCCCCCTCGGTACCGTTCCTTAATTTGCAAATTGCAAATCTTGAATAAATCGCACAGAAATCGAACGGCGGCGGCGGCTGCTGCAGCATTTGATTTATGTAACGAGCGTGTGTGGTCCTTTTCCGTTATTATTACTATTGGTTAACTTTGATTCGAATTGCTTTGCAGGCCATTAAACTGAACCTGTCCACCGAATGCAAATGCCATGGAGTGTCAGGAAGTTGCACCATGAAGACCTGCTGGAAAGCGCTTCCGCCGTTCCGAGAGATCGGGGATAAACTGATGAAGAAGTATTACAGAGCAAGGCCCGTGGCTCTAAGTCAAATTACTACACACGTTACAAGAGCGACGAAGCCCAAGAAACACCTGGTACTGAAGAAAGGTAAAATACCCATCAAGAGGACGCCCAAGAAGTCCGATTTGGTATTCTTACAAACTTCACCCAACTATTGCGAGCGTGACCTTGCCGCCGGTTCCTTAGGTACCATAGGAAGGGCCTGTAACCGAACGTCAAGAGGTAAGATCATATCAAATACAAACATATAACATTAAGGACATTAAGCATTTATTACAACTCATCGAAGGAATTGGATGAAAGCAAAGGTTTTATCACTTTTAATTCGTTTTTTCAGGTATTGATGGATGTGATCTGATGTGCTGTGGACGAGGCTACAACACTCACCAATATACCAAAACCACGCAGTGCCGATGTCAATTCGTTTGGTGTTGTTCCGTCAATTGTGATACATGCAGCGAAAGAACTGAAGAATACACCTGCAAATGAATCTCCTTCAGCAACAGCAGACATGATCTGCTATACTTGCATAATACTCAAAATATCCACGATTCCCCCCAAAACTACACTCCACGACATTGATTGATTCAAGTGTAAAGACTTAAAATATTCGTGATACTTAAAGAAAAAAAACGTAACAGAGCAATAGCATAACAACAACTAACAATGATGTACTGTATAATAGTGATCTGTAAATAGTACGTAATATATTTTGTAGTGTATATAATGAAGAACGCTAAATAAGCTAATAATAATTATTATAATTATATATTTATGCAACAATCTTTGCTTAACTGTGAAAATGAAGAAAACCACATCCCATGCTTCCACCAATCAAAACGCCTATAACCCAAGCTAAAAACGCTAATCCAACATATGCAACCACATGTACATCAATTACTTAATTAATTTTAAAAAAATACACCCACTCATTTCTATTAAAACAATAATACTTTAATCTGAATAACAATATTTCGATAGAAACACACTTAAACTTATCAAGGAGTAAATTTGGTTGCCTACAGCTTAAGCATTTATTTTTTTTTATATGTATTTATAATTTTTAACGTCTGTGTTAAAAATCGATCGAGCACATTGAAACCATTAATTTATTAAAAATAAATCTGTATTATACGTCATGCACAAAATAAAATTTATATATGAAAAAAGAAAACAAATTAATGAATCAGGTTTACTCGTAACGATCCATGAGATTCCTCTGATTACATCATTTTATGGAGGGGCGTATGTGCTCACACACATCATTTATTTCCCAGTTGTCCAATTAATTAGGAAAAAAATTCTATTGTAAATTAATCAATTTATAAAAGAAATTTTATTAGTCTTCCTTGATGTATTTTACTTGAAAAATAAATAAATATTTTAATTTTTGTAATTAATGTTTTTTTTTGTTATGTTTATGAATACACTTTTTGACATTCGACATAGAAGAAAGATTATCTTTCTATATTATTCTTTATTAGTACAAAAATGTAACAAAGTCGTTAAATGTATATTTTTTACACTTGTGTTGTATAATCAAATTTTAATATAGTAGCCAATTATATCCACAAATTTCTGTATGTCGATTGTTCCCTTTTTTATGTTGCTTGATGAACAAAAGGAAAATTGGAAACATGAATATGGGTCGATTTAAGTGTACATGAAAACAACTTTGAGCGCCGAAATTTCATGTCGGAACACACAAAACAGAAGATAGCTTCTGTGCTTTAATTAAACAAATAATCCAGAAAAATCGTATATATTTTAATACGATTATCCTGGAGTATAGAATTTTCAAATTTGTTAATTTCCAATTGTAACTGCAAAAAATATATATAAAATAATAATAAATTTATATCAATTTTTAAAAGATAATAAATAATTATTCAATTTTATGGGCATCAAACTTTAATACGGATCTGAATTAGCGAAAATGGTTAAACAAAAAAGAAATTGGTTTTATAGTAAAAATAAAATGTATTGGAAGCTGTAAAAATAATAAAGTAATAAAAGAAACATTGTAATATATTTTTTACTTCTTGTATTTTCGAGTATTACGATTATTAAAGGATATAACATAAATGAATTTTTCTTTATATTTGCAGTTCTTCGAGTCGCAAAAACCAAATAAAAGTCGTATGTAGACGACATCGTTACTGGGCTGGCCTGGCAAATCCATGTTTGCATTATATACAGAATTTAATAGGCGAAGCGTGTAATGTGGAACGGACTTGGCAAGAATACTCCAACTTTGGTAGTTGGTGATGGTCGAAGGGATTGATTATTTGCAGGAAGCAAGGCGCCGACTTCAATGCGAGATGCGAGGCTCCGTCTGACTCTCTTTCTCTATGTACACATCATCCTAGGTCAAACTGTTTAAAATCTATATATAGGATTTCGGTTCGGAACTTCAAACGAATCCTATACATTCTTAACATGTAATCGAATCTTTGTCTAATCTCCACGTTACGATGCTAATTTCCTGCGATAAATCAATCAATCCAGCTGCTAAGTTAATCAGAGCTTTAACTTGTGGAGCTGAAGTAACTCAATTAATAGTTTCACGGCTACTTTGTAAATACACTATTCACTCACACACAAGGGTGTGTGCAATTGCAAGAACAAATGGTTAATTAATTATAAATAAAACTCTGTTAATAATTTATTTACTTAACTCGTGTTTATCTCAACGTTATATTGTGATAGTATTTTTACACTTACAACTTTTTATAAAGTTTTAACCAATATTTCTACAAAAATCAATTTGGTACCATAATTTATTTTGTAATATTCCCTTTTTTTGGAAAAATTCCCAAATATTTCTTAATGACTTTAGTAATGAGTTTGGATTGATTTTGGCCCGTTCACATCTTCGTATAAATATTAAGAAAAAAGTATGTCAAAAAAGAAACGTCATAAAACTGCGTTAGTTATTTTGTTAAATTCATTTACAACAATAGAACAAGATACAAATGTAATTGAAAATTGTCCAAAAACAAGTATTCTCATTTTTGACATAAAAATTCAAATATTTAATTAGTTAGTACATATAATTAGTAAGAACATTCCAATTAGAACTATTTTGAAATTTCAGTTGAAATGATGAATGATTTATGATTCGTGCACAAATGTATTTGCAGTAAATCAATTGTTGAAAAGTATGTATAAAATATTTCAATTTCGTTTGATAGATTCGGGAAGTGTGGCGTTTCAAATATCCTTTCAGGATTTGAATTTGCCTTTAATTACAAGATATTGAGGAAGGTGCATGTGTTGTTGAAGTTATAATAACGTGAAAATGAGGGTCGAAATAAGACTGGAAATGATGGGCGCCGTTCACGGACGGCAGCTTTTAGAAATACGATGAGAGTTCGCTGCATTTCAGCCGTATTTCAGGAGAGTATGGTTTTCGAGACGTCCGCCAGGGTGTATCGAATGTTATTTAAAAATCTAGGCCTTCCCCACTCGGTTGACCCCAATTCATGCCGTGGAAGCTCTCTTGCGCCGCCTCCGATGTATTTTTAGCGTATGCTTTTCGAGTAGACATACATACACACACTCGCAGACAGAGTAAAGGGCGAAGGGAGAGAGAGGGTGGTGGTGGTTGTGGCAATGATGATTATGGTGAGGTGATGGCAGTGATGGTGGAGGCGTTGCAGAAGTAGTAACACTCGCTGAAGAAGAGGTTTTCGGGGAAATTCGTGATTTCGGAGGATGGAAGAAGGTCCGGATGCGTGGCGCGCGCGCTCTCACTTTGTTCGAAGCCACCAGCACGCACGCTCATCGAGAGCGTTGGAGGCGTGAGGAGGAGGAGGCCGGTGTTATCGTGTTGGTCCTTACGAAGGAGGAGGCGGTGGAGGCGGCTGTGCGGGGGTGGAAGGAAGTTGGTGGTGACGCGCGCATCGTACTCACTGCTACACACACCCGTTTCATTGATCAGAGGCGGCGGGCAAAGTGGTGCGGGCGACATCTTCAGTACCGTATGTGACATGACATGAGATGTCCCGAGACGCGTACGTGGGGGGCAGCCGGTCCCCGCGGGGCGTGAGATTGCCCACCGTGGACCGGTCCCCCAGCCGGGCTTATCCTGGTGGAAGTCCGATAAGTAGAAAGACCTGCCGTCCGACGAGATCTGGAAACAATTCACCGGACCACGGTTACGGCTTTCACCACAGCTACTACAGAGACGAGGAGCTCGCCAGTCCGACTATGTTGGAGGAAAGAGGACGTCCGTTGGCCGTCGGCCCTGGTCATCATCGTTCCCGTAGCGCGACAAGACCCACCAACCCCATGACCGTACGATACCAATCTTTGGATCGAGGCGCGACCGTTGACCATGAACGAGAGTTCCTTCCCATCCGCGACCGTAGGGATCGTTCCCTCGAACGGTCCCTCTACTTCGACGAGGACACCTACGGAAGTCGATCAGCTCGACAGTCCCCCACGTCCCATCAGCCCTTCCTCGGTGAGCTGCAGCATCAGAACTCCGATCTTCAGCGTGAACTCGGCAACCTCAAGAAGGAACTCGAATTGACCAACCAGAAGCTCGGCTCCTCCATGCATTCCATCAAGACCTTCTGGAGTCCCGAGCTGAAGAAGGAGAGGGCCCTTCGCAAGGAAGAATCCGCCAAGTACAGTCTCATCAATGACCAACTGAAACTTCTGAGCAGCGAAAACCAGGTCAATATAATTCATCATCACCATCACGCTACATTTTTTTTTTTTGCAATATTCATTGATGCCCTCCTACCATGCCATCGATTTTCAATTCCACCCTTCTCTGCTTAATTCATGCATTATCTTGTACCAATTCGAGCTTACAAACATTGTCTGCTCAATATTTCAGTATCGAACCTTTCCACCCACGCACGCACCGAATTACAACCACTTCTTTCATTGATTAAGTTCACTTCCTTGCGCGACCAGCGGCGTCCCTCCAATTTTACACAGGGAGGGGCAAACCATTTTTTTTATATAATATCAATTCTTATAAGTATTATTTGTCTCATTTATCCGTTTTATTTATATGCGCTTTACATCATCATTCATTGAACATTCACAATATTACAATTATAAAATATCAATTCTCGACATTAATTAATCTCTATATATTAAATTAAAAAATATCAAATATATATACAATCAATTTTCAACGTAAATCAATAATAATTCAAGTATTGTCATTTTCTTGCGCATGTTTACTAAACTATTTTGTTTGTACATTAAATACGATCGCGCATGACACTGATTGGTTAAACTTTCCAGATTTTTTCCCCTCAACATTTTTATATAATTATGTACATTTGTATAATTAATACAATAATATGTAATTTCAGTAGGATCATTGTTACGACGATATTTTGATCAAATATAACAGTGTTTCTCAAACCAAAACTTGATTTTTTTACTCTGAACAGTAACAATATATTGTTACTATTAGTATTGTAAAAAAATTAAGCATAATAAACTTTATATTTTTTTCAATATTTGATTTGTTAAAAACAAACAAACAGCTAAATATTTCATTTTTTACTATAATTAACAATTATTATGTTCCTTAAACATAAGTAATAAATGAAATTATATTATTCTGTCAAAAGAAATAATTAATGATAATTAAAACTTAATTTCTCATATATTTCCTTTACACACAATTTTCTAAATAAAGAAAACTTAGCATTACTTTATATAATTAAAAAGGGATATAAAAATATATTATTGTATACATACATTTCTATAATTAAAACTTTGAATATTAATTTGACCATTAAAATAAAACAAAATCAAATTTTAAATAGGTTTTGATATTAAAAAATGTGATGATTTTCTGTTAAGATCATCATGATACATACATTAAAATTAACTTGAACTTGAAAACATTAGTTAATAAAAAAAACATATATTTAGAAGCAACCGTTGGTTAAGCAGCGCATGTTTTCAGTATTCAACCATTGTCCAAATTATTTCCGTATATTGATCTATCCGCCGTTGGATGTAACGATTTTCGCTCAGAAATACTTACAGTTAGAAATTATTCATCATTGATTTTATAGATGAACAATTTTTACAACTATACGAAAAAGTTATATTTAATACCAATTGTTTTATCAATATATTTATCATTAAAAGTCATAATTTTCTATTGGAAATACCGACAGTTTGAGTACATTCATCATCGATTTCAAACATGAAAAAAATTGATATTTTTCTAAAGAAATTAACATAAATGTTAAGCAAGGCATTAATCACATTATTAACTTTAAAACTAATTTTCTTCTATGCAAAAACAGACATCTTAATTACAAGTATCATTGATTTTATAACTACAAATTGTGATAATTCCCCCAAAAGAAAGTTACATAATCTTAATGCGATTGTTTATAAACGTTAGATGTAATGATTTTCGCTTAGAAAATCTATATTGAAAAACTACAAATTGAACTTTTATAATTTTGAAGAAAATCGAACGCCCATGCTTCCTCTATTAAGCAAGAAGCACTCGAGGCGAAGAAACACTTAACTTGTCTCTCGCCTGTAGAGAGAATTCCCATCGGAAACAATCATAAATTGTAATTATTACACTCTTCGGTTACACGAGATTCGTAAATCCCTTGTCGACGACCTTTAGAATCCTTCGACCACTTTACGACTCTCCTCTTCTCGAGCAGCACCGTAAAACGAGAGAGCTCCAAACAAAGAAGAAAGTCTGAAACTCGTGTAAAAGAAAGATGCATATTTTCGCAAACGGTCTAATTTTAGAGCGCATTCAGAGACTCTTAGCAAAAATTCACGTCCTTTGCCGCAAATGAACAATTTTTATACAATTTTTATCAATGATCATTCAAAAACTTCAAATCAAATCCTTTTAAAATATTGTGGAATAATAGTATTGATTTTCATTTGTTTTAATGTAAAGTATTAATAATATTTAGTCGTTAAGACGTGCTCCTGAGATGATGATTTTTTTTGTTCTGGATGTGAGAAATGGGTCAAGCACGTGTTCAATAAGTGGTCACAAGTGGAGGGGTCAACCATCTGCTAATAAAATCATTCTTTTTAACATACCGAAAAACTTCAATCACGGAGCCAAAGTTTTGTTATCGAAGTGAAATTGGTTTCTCCGCCGTGACTAACGAAATATCAATTTATCTATAATAGAACAATGATTTTCAACTAAATGGCCGTGAGAAGGTACATACATATTTCAAAGAAGACGTGCAATAAGTGCATAAATCAAAATTAAAATTACAAAACAAATAATTTCTGTATACAATATAAAGATTACATTAAAGTACCAACAACTATTTAGGTCTGTTTCACGTCTCTTTATAATTTACATAATAATTAATTAATTCATCATATTTATTAAGTATTCAGATGATACTTACGTAATGTTATGTACATACCACATACCAAGTGTATACACAATTCACTTGTGAAAGTTACTTGTCATGTAGAACAGTGATTCTCAAAGTATGGGTTGGCAGAAAAATATCCATTCTTCGGGGGTTCCTTAAAATTATTTATGTGCAAAAGGGGGTCGCCAAAAAGTTGGAGAAACACTGATGTAGAATATTGTGTATTACTTATATAAGTGGTAAATATGCCACGTAAAACACTTTATAAATACTGTAGAAATATAAATGACTACAAAACAATTATTTACTTTTTTTGGATTCAGATATTCACTTAAAACCTATATAGTACAGCAAATATGATACGTACACACTACTTGGAAAGTAAATGCAAATTGTATGTAGTATTTCTATATACAATTCTTGTGACAATAACTTGTACATTACTTATATTTAAGAGTAGAAATCCAAGTTTAACTGAACTTATAAGTGCTGTCAAACGACAAGGGGTTGAAAAGTTTAAAAAAAACACTGTTTTAGAATATCTTTTTGTAAAGACATCAGACAATAACAATGAGAATTCGTCTTCATTACCTCATTGCGCGTGTTTATTTTAAATTAAGATCAAGATGTAGTTAGTTTGGTGCACGTCCTTGGGTTGTCTTACAGGGAATTAACCGTGGCAACGAGTCTATAATTAGAATTTTTCATGAAGCAATTTCAAACAGCTCAATGTTTCGTGCTCAAAACAAATCTGGTTTAACGCTGAGGGCTTTCTCATCACAAAAAAGAAAGATTAAGTAAAATCAATGAATCGATCAATTTTTTGTTTTATGATTTCAATTTGTACTGAGAATCTATTTAATTATTAAATAATTTATACGGTTTGAACATTTAGGACCGAAAATTTTTCGAATTTTATATAAAAATCATTAAAAAAATCACAAATATGACTTTTTTTTTAAGTTCTAGTTCATTCTTCCAAAAGTATAAATTTATAATTTTTTTTAAAGTAAAAGTTAATATTTTATTAAATTATTATTCTATGATTTGTTTCTTTTTTGCAATTTAATTTTAGTCAATTTCATTTGCTGTTCTACCTAGTAAAACAAATGTAGTTTCTCTCTAATTCTAGAAAATTTACAAAAGTGTCCAACACTCAATTCCTTTCTTTATAGTCACATTATTTTCCTCATTATCTTCCTTTTACCTTATAGTATCAGTTAAAATAATTCTTAGTTGCAATGGTAAAGAAATACAAATGTGGTTATAATGACCGAAAATATCGTGAACCGTAAAATGCAATTATTGTCTGCATAATTCCTGAAATGCAATCCTGATCATGGCTGCCTGCCTGCATGTAACCGAAATGATTCGCATCGCATCGGATGCCCCAATTTATCGGGGACAATCCTGTAATCCTTACGCGAATATGAATAATCGCGAAAAACTGGATATTTGACGAGGAAAGGTGGATGATCGATAATGTGAATGGGCTTTTTGAATCAGCAATGCTTGAGGTCCCACCACCAAACAGTTCAACACTACACATGTTCCATAGTAGTAAACGCTTTTCCTCATCCTCCACGTTCTAATTTCATCATTCGAGCTTCGTAGTAGTACATACTAGTATGTATTCGACGCAAATAGAAATGGAAAAACACGCAGCGAAGGCGAGAATTCAGCGGAGAATTCTGAATGAAAGCGTGGCTGATTTTTATTTTCCTCTTTTTTTGGAGCTTTCTTTTTTTCTTCCTTCTTCGTGTATATTGGATTTTCAACTGATCGCTGCTTTTCATTCAGCTCCGATTTGTATTTCTAATTAAAAGCAGCCGTTGGATGCCTACGAAAGACATCAGACAATTTAATTAACGTCTCTCATTGTTGTCTAATGTACGAAAAAGGGAAGAAAAAAATGTTGTCAGAATTCGTGCATTGTCGTAGTACGATCGATGCTCTCTGACTCACGACGCTAAATTATTAACCCTGAGTCACTGTCGTCTCCGCACTCGCTCATCCACCAAATTTACGACTGTGAAATCGACTTGGAAAACACATTTATAAAGAGCGTTCTTTCAGCATTATTTAAATCTTTTGAGAAACTTCGCAGTTCTAAATATAAAACAGAAATAATAATGATTTTGTTAACATCAATCATAATTAATATCACAGAATATACAAAAATCTGTTAAAGTAATCACGAATTAAATTGGCAATCATTAATTCTGAAAAGTTTAAAGTCAAATGAGAATGAGAGAAAATACATTCAAATGATATCATGAACAAGTAATATAACTTTCAGACACTCCATTGATTCATTTCGAG